AAAAAAAAAATAAACAAATAACAATAAAAAGAATACATATGCATGCAAGTAAGAACTGAATATAAAATTGCTCACCAATATAAAGTTCTAAAAAGATAAGTCTTAATATGCGCCTTAAAACTGTTCACATTAGTAATCGCACGAAGTTCTTTTGGAAGAGAGTTCCAGAGCGTTGGCGCTGCTACCATAAAAGCTCTATCACCTAACGTCTTTGATCGAACAGCGGCATAGAAAGTAAAATACTACCTGAAGATCTAAGGTTATATAAGAACGATTTAAATGTTAGTAAATAAATCGCGTCGATATTTAGGAGCAAGGCCGTGAATTGCTTTGAACGTGATCAGAATCCACCAAAGGCTGTTAACAAGCAGGAAATCCATTGCCTCGAACGGCTCCATAAATCCCGTGGGATTATGGCCGAACGCGCACGCCGTGATGTTGATGAGGACACGAAACTTAGGACACATTTACAGAATTCTTCAATCCGTAATCCCAACCAGGACTTTCGTGCAATCCCGTAATTCCGTAATCCTGAGGGTTATTTTTGGTATCCCACCTCCCGCGCTTACTTTCAATCCCGAATCCCGCGCGGATTTGCTTTAAAATCCCGAATCCCGAGCTTCTAATAAGGGAAATCTCGGATCCCGAAAAACCTATTGAGGACCCTCTTTATACCGTACAAAAATTAAAAGGTGAACACGGGAAAAACCAAAAAACCAAATAAAAAACCGGTCAGCCAATGGAATCGATATAGTTTCCAAACGAAATAATCGAGTACTATATTTTCCAGGAGCCCATGGGTTCTGTCACTTTCTAGTTAAACACAGTAAAGAAACAACTTTCAAAGCGAATGAAAGAATTGATCGCGTCCCGTCTTTCACGGAATGATTATAACAGGTAAACCGAAGAAAAGTTTCATCTGCCGTTTTCGTACTTTCCCGAAAGCGGCCTACTGCATGAAAAGAAGCAATTTTGCAAAAATAAAAAATTGTATGATAAACAAAATTTGTGTCTATTTCTGATGTCGCCTCGATACTGCACTTTTACTCTGCAGGCAATGAACCGAGTCGTCAAAACCAATCCTGGCATCACTTATAATAAGATGACTCTTTTACATCCCCATTTCACAAGTTTGCTCTCAGAACTTAATAATTTTATCTTTCTCAACTAAACATTCAACTAGTAAATATATCATACCATGCCAACTTAAACCGGAAAAACACTTGCGTTAAACTTTCGATATCACTGATACGTACGCAAGTCATGTGGAATGAGGAATTTCAAATCAGCTCAAGCCTTGCAGCACTGAATTCTTTTTAAGTTACCAAAAGAGACTAAGCGGAAGAAACCTCACTCATTGGTAAATGGTTTATATTTACAGAAAGTGTAATTTACCTGGTAGTTATTTTAAACTCCTCGGGATTGCTAAATTTAAATGAATAAAGGAAGAAAAAAAAAACAAACACTGGAATTTATAGTGGTTTGACGTCCAAGGATTAAAAGGTACTTTGAATTTTAAGAGGAAGTCCTAGTTGATACTTGCGGGTCGTTGTCTGCAGATGTGCAAAACTATAAGATCAACACTATTTTTGCGATTATCCAGGCGAGGAAAATTACAGTGACTCGCCACGGTCATCAAGAGAAAAAGGGCAAGACCTCACAGGAAATAAGAGGAATGATAAGGCGGAGGATTTTTTTTTTTTTTTTCAATTTCCTGGCGTTATCATGTCAACACTATATTTGTTGTTCTGACTGGGTGATAAGACGTAACACTGCTTCCCACAAAACTCAAGTACTCTAACTATGTGCAATATCTAAAGTAATTCAAGTGAAAATTCCGGGGGTACTCCCTTTTATAAGCCATATACTAGGTATATCTGCCCCAAAGGGGAGTGTTTTCGAGCCGTTTTAGTTTGATAACGGGTGAAGACTTTGCCCATTTTTGTCTGGAATCGGGTATGGTTTTCAAGGGAAATACGGGAGTGTATGGACTTATTTGTCGATTCAATTCTAAATGAATGAGAAAGAAAGAGTATAATTAGAATTCAAAATAGATTTTAAGAAATCGTTTTGTTGGCGTTGTAGTCTAAATAATGATGACATAATTTCCTCCACGTAAACATGTACATTACTGTTTTGAGAGCTATTACAGGTCTGAAAAGGGATATAGATTTTACATGCCAGGTCTGAACACAGGTGTGGAATTGACAAAATGTTTGGTCTGAAATGGGGTCAGGATTTGGGAAACTGGGCAGCACACCCCCACCAAGAATTCCAAGGAGTATCCCCCTGAGCTGAAAATACGCGGACATCATTAATTCGCATCACGAGGCTTGCAGATATCCACTTCGTCATCGGCATTTCTGTTACTTCGGAATGAAAGTTCCGGTCAATATGCGTTCACTCTGCAAAGAACTTATAGAATGAGAGTTGTGTCGGGAACAGGGAGGTTCATTACCTATTTTATCCACGAGAGTCTACTTTTTTCAACAGAGTCAAGTAGAGCTATGATAATCACTGACTGTGAAACAACGAATAAAAACAAACAAACAAATTGGCCTTTTATAGAACGATCTCTGTCAAAACGTAATGAATGGCAATTGAACATTTTGACTTTACTTCAGGTAGATTACATCTTGGTAAAAAAAAAAAAGAAAGAAAATAAAATATATATCTTAAATATTGCTTCAACTCTGACTATCCACCTCATCAGTACAAGGTATGAAACAAATAATTGGACCACTGACGGTCAGAGTCAGGTATAGTCCATCCCAGCCGCCTATAACAGTGCTATAAGGTAGGGTTTGGATAGTAATTCTTCATATTCCATGCTACTTTTCAAAATCAAAATGACTGATTTCCTTTTCTTTCACATTACAGCAAAATTGTTAAAAAATTCGAGCGATCATGTAACGTCTTGCAACATCAAGACCACGTGTTCGCCCGCGCTCAAACTTTTTAACACGTGACGTCACACATCACCGACGCAAAATAATACATGGTTTGTGGCACAAAGTGTTCATATGTATTCTAGGAATAGGACCTGTCTCTTCACCGTCTCTTCGACTCAAGCAGCTTGTGAGAAGTTCAAAATGGTTTATCGTATGTGCTTTGCTTGTAATTCCATCATGGTAAGTTTGAAATCAGTTAACTTTTATTTCGTTTGAAGATTCTTCTGTTTAAATTGTTGCCCCAGCTTAGATAATCAGTGATATTCAAATTTTCTTTAGCCAATAATTATATTTCATTTTAACGGCTCCATTTCGTCACACAACAACCTGGCTCATGCAAAAGGAGCTGCTTCTGTATTTACTTAGTTTCGTCGTTTAAGTGGGAAGTTTGCTCGTTGAATACAGTTTGATTTTCAATTGCCTTTAAATTTTTCGAGCTGGAAGTGGGTCGATCGCGCAGCGTTTGCAACGAATTTACCCCTTTAGGACCTGAAGCGCGCAATTTACTGGTAATGTCTACCGATAGACTACATTTGTAATGAAACGGAAAACGAACTATCAGTAAAATTTGACGGTCGGTCGGTGTCTTGTGTAGTACAACGAGATGATAGAATTCCTTGCCACAAAATTAACACTTTCCTTAATTTATACCTCAAATTATTTGTATTTCATCAGACATGAATCGTAAGAATCCAACTTATTTCCTGACAATCAACTGTAGGGTCCAGTGAGAAGGAAATGAACCACCTTTGACCACCCTTCACATGTATATCCGCATGTAACATTTCCCGTTTCATCAGATAATCTTCTCAGTGCTTCCCTTTTTCGAAAGTCAAATTTAATTTTGGTGTTCGACAAATAATATATTCATTTTAGTGTTTTTTTTCCTTATCAGTTTTCTTTCCCAGTTTTCTTGGAAATTATGTCATCTGTAGACTGATTTGCAGCTACCCGAGCCCACTCAGTTCAAGGAAGTTCTGACTTATCACCGTCGATGGTTTGAATTCCATTTAAGCTCGTCTCAGTTTGGGAATATATGCTCCTCTATGGAGATTTCTTGGATTTTCTTTTTTTTAAATGGCTACATTAACCCAAAGACTTTTGCTTTTGCCATTGTTTTCTTCGGAAACGTACAGAACTTCCTTACGGCCGCGGGGCCAGCAGATCCATGCAAAACCCCATCATGGGGCTAAAAATGTGTACAAATCTGCCCCACGAGCAAACCTGCAAGGAATCACGCCGGCGCTATCATGCCAAACCCTGCCCGGTGTAGCCTGTAGCTTAGTGGCCATACCAAGGTATTTGGAGGTGTGTGCTTCTTGCAGCCATGGTCCCAATAGTTCAAACGATGGATAACTCTAGGACACCAATTGCGCTCAGTTTTATCCAGTGGATAGTATTATCCACCTTTCGAACAACAAATGCGCGACCCTAGAGACGAGGAAGGTGTTAGTCTCCTTGAAACTAAAAGGCTACAAATCGCAAATCCAGCGAGCGAGTACATATAGTTTACTTCAAAGAAAGTGCGGCGTACGGGGTTATATTCACGAGTTGTTTGTCTCAAAACCCGAACGAGTGAGGTGCGAGCACTTTCACTTTCTATTACCCACCTGAGCTGTTTATTACACTTATCACGAGAATTTTCACTGAAATAGTTTTCTTAATGTACAAAGGGCAAATCACAAATAGTAGAACCAAATGCAAATTTAATAGCACTGAAGGGCAAATCTCGCAGCCTATCCTAGTCGTGCTGAACGGACTAACAGAAAACGCACTTACAAGAGTTTAATCTACTAAGAACGTTACAAAAGACAGACCTCAGCGATGCGGGGTCGTATCATTGTCTCCGTCTTTCTTTCGAACTTGAAGTAGAAAATTGGCGATTAACACGTCGAGATCTCTTGCCTGAATATTTTCCATCTCTCTCGATGGCTCTTTCCTTGAAACTAAAAACTTTTTTAACAACGAACTCTGTGTTTTGCTTAATGTGTTGTTGTTTTCTTTGAATGCAAACGCTTAACGACTTTGCTTAAAGGCATTTACGCTGCCGTTGATTAGTTATACTTCCACATGTGAAAAAAGCTGAACGCCATTCTGATTGGCTGTATAAGTTTTTCTCACATGTGAAAATAAAGCGTATAGATTTGTACAAATAAGCTTTACGGAATAAAATTCTCGTGATACGTGTAATAAAGTAAATGACGAAACAGTTCTTATAGTACTTATCCACTTGAAACTCAACAGCTACAGAGTGCGTAATCGTGAATAATCAAATAGTGTATGAATGAACCAGTTTCCCGATGCTTTGGTCGGACCCTAAACAAGGAGGTCTTGACGGTGTACAAAATCTTACCAAGATGAGAAATGTACTATTGTTTCAAAAGCTTCAGATATACGGATAATCCTTCCAGTGGCAATCTTTGCAAATAAAGACTTTTTCTCTTGCTTACAAGTTTTTTTGAACTGATTTTATGATGACTTCAAGCTGTGGGACTTAAGAAATACATTATTCTATTTCCCTGACTGACGTGATGGAGTGGATAAATCAACGATTTTCCCTCTGAAAATAACCAATATGACTCTCGGCCTGAAGTCATTTATCGTACTGCTCGGTATTGCAGTGAATCACTCAAGAACATGATGTAACCTGTGAAGATGTTCTTTGTTGCTCGGCTTTTAGAGGAGATGACCACTATGACCATACTCTCATTCAAGAGAGGCTTAGTTATGTCCTCTTGACTAGGCTTTAAGAAGTGAGACAAGACACGTTCTGCAAGGCAATCTACACATGAAAGACAAGTAAAGACGACAAAGACTTTTAGGAACGCCAAGAGTTGTGCCTGCAGATGAAAATTCGCTCATAAATTCATCCTGCCATGTTTAATATTGCGTGTGCTGGCTGAGACAAGGGGGTTATCGCCGAGTCATCCACACTTTGAAAAACTGCGTTTCCTGCAAAATATGAACGCTCACTCAGCAAAAAACAAGGACAATTAATGAGTAAGTGTGGGAAGGCTGCCAATGTCAATCAATTACCCACTGCCACGAATCAACACCGCGGCGGGACAGGACAAAGCAAGAACAAACGTTCGAAAATAAAATATGGCAGCATAAAAGCATTTTCCCCTTGAAATTAAGTGGCAATGAGAGTCATGTTATTCTTGCTTTTCAGAAAACCTCTATCAGTAACAACCTAAACGATTCAAGGTAGCATCCTGTTCCAGTTACCACAAACTGCCGCAAGCTCCTCAAACAAGGAAAACGAGTTGACCCAAAACTAGTCAAACCAGTTCATAGCTAAATCAAATTTCTAACGATTACATGTTCTAAAAAAAGCTCACGCAGCCTTTTTTTTTTTTTTTTTTTTTAAAATTTTTTTATTTTTTTCCTTTAAACTAAATTTTTTTTTAAAATTCCGAATAGGTTTTTTTTTTTTTTTACATAAAACTTATATTTTGAGAAAGTTTTTTTTTTGTCTCGCGATTGGTGTGCCCTTATTTT